CGACTCGAGCTTCAGCACAATCTTCGCCGCCGTGTTGTTCATCTTTGTGAGGTACACCGCCGGCGTGTCGCCGATGAGGGCGTCAATGGAGGGGGCCACGTTGTTCCGCCGGTCAAACACCTGCCGTGTCATTGCCTGCGCCGACCAAGCCCGTCAGAACGCAAACGTTAAACGACCACGCTGCTGCACACACTCATGCATATATACACGTATAGAGGGAGAAAACAAAAAAGGATAAAGAGAACGTGATGAGCAAAGGGAGGTTTATTTACTACCACCCCATTTTGGGGAAAGGGGCTGCTTCTTTGCTTGGGCAAAGCTGGCGGCGGCGGCGGTGGCAGTAGCTTAAGCGGGAAGACATAGATTCTATGCGCAAACACACACACACACACACAGAGACAGAGACCCACAGACAGAGATGCTGCGTTGAGGAGTTGCAAGGGGTCCAACCAAGCAAAGAATCATGCAAACCGAAACAAAAACAAAAACAAAAACAAAAATGCGCCATCCTTACTATTACGCACGCATACACACACACACACACACGTGCGCATGCGTAAATACACACACATAGGCCGAAAGTAAAACAGGAAACAATAAAAAAATATATACTGACAGTAAAATGCTGAGTAATGCATTTTCCTTCCACCTCCGTTTGCTTCGATTTCTTTTTGTTCTTTTTTTTTTTGCCTTTTCACTTTCGCACGCTCGGTTTTCCCGACTGTCCCGCCGAAATACATACGGAGGGCCGGAAAAGGTACTGCATATATACATTCACACACACACATGAAGAATGGATAGGTAGATAGAGAGAGATACATGCACATATATATATATATATAGCCAGAAACACTGCGGCGGCGTCAGACCTCGGACTCCACGGGGAGCGCCGTCACCTCCTCCTTGACGGAGGTGTAGAGGGCGGTGGAGAGGTAGCGCTCGCCGAAGGAGGGGATGATGGTGACGATCGTCTTCCCCGCCATGTCCGGCCGCCGCGCGATCTGCAGCGCCGCGTAGACGTTGGCGCCGCCGGAGATGCCGCAGAAGATGCCTTCTTCGCGGGGGAGCCGCTGGGCGACATCGATGGCCGCGTCGCTGGGGACTTGGATCACCTCGTCCACCAGCGCCCCCTCCAGCACCTGCGGGACGAAGCCGGCGCCGATGCCCTGAATCCGGTGCGGCCCCGGCTTGCCGCCGGCGAGGACGGGCGACTCGGCGGGCTCGACCGCGACTATCGTGGCGCCGCAGCCCACCGACTTGAGGTAGCGCGCCACCCCCGTCAGCGTCCCGCCGGTCCCCACGCCGGCCACGAAGCAGTCGACCTGCCCCTGCGTCTGCCGCCAAATCTCCGGCCCAGTGGTCTCCTGGTGGGCCTGGGCGTTGTACTTTGTGGAGAACTGGTCCACCAGCACGGCGTCGGGGTTGCTGCCCACGATGCGGTGCGCCAGCGCCAGCGACCCCTTCATGTCTAAGGCCGCCGGGGTGAGGAGCAGCTCCGCCCCGAAAATCCGCATCAGGCACCGCCGCTCGATCGACATGGACTCGGGCATGATGATGATCACCTTGTACCCGCGTATCGCGCCGAGCTGGGCGAGCGCAATCCCCGTATTGCCGCTCGTCGCCTCCACAACGACGCTCCTGCCGGGGATCAGCTTCCCGTCCCGCTCCGCCTTCTCGTACACGGCGTAGGCGAGGCGGTCCTTCACGGAGGTCATGGGGTTGAGCGACTCGAGCTTCAGCACAATCTTCGCCGCCGTGTTGTTCATCTTTGTGAGGTACACCGCCGGCGTGTCGCCGATGAGGGCGTCCATGGAGGGGGCCACGTTGTTCCGCCGGTCAAACACCTGCCGTGTCATTGCCTGCGCCGACCAAGCCCGTCAGAACGCAAACGTTAAACGACCACGCTGCTGCACACACTCATACATATATACACGTATAGAGGGAGAAAACAAAAAAGGATAAAGAGAACGTGATGAGCAAAGGGAGGTTTATTTACTACCACCCCACTTTGGGGAAAGGGGCTGCTTCTTTGCTTGGGCAAAGCTGGCGGCGGCGGCGGCGGCAGTAGCTTAAGCGGGAAGACATAGATTCTATGCGCAAACACACACACACACGGGCACACTTCCTTGCTTCGTCGCTCCTTTCCCCCCCTCCCCCTGCCTGCGTGGGCCTCGTTGCTTTCCTCCTCCCACCCACCCACACGCACCCCGCTACACGACGCCGTCGGACGGGGGCAGGGGGAGGCCCTGGCGCCAGCTTGCGAGGCGCTCCAGCGCGGCAGCGTGGACGCGCGGGTGGTGCTTGAGGTGGAACGCGATGCGGCGCTCCGTCGGGCCGTGCCCCCAGCAGCAGGTGCGCGTGTAGCCGTTGAAGAGCGCCTCCATCATGTGGCACACCGTGCAGAAGGGGCACTCCCTGCTGGCGTGCTTGTCGGGGGCAGAGTACCGCGCGTGGTACTTTGAGCTGCAGGTCACGTGCGCCTTCAGCGCCGACCCGCGTTGCCTGGACGCCGGCGACTGCGACGTGGGCGGCGTGCGGCCCGCCCCCACCGAGGCGTCCTCCGGCGAGGTGACGGTCTCCGCGTCGCTGTCGTCGTC